AAAGGGAAAGGGAAGAAAGGAGGACGAAGACGACCATGGAGCAGGAAAACATGGAGGAATGGAAGAAAGCAAAGGGTTTTAGCCAGATGACCTTCCCCACAACAAGAAACGTAGGGCTAGGGAAGAACTGCCCAGAGATTCTTCTTGTCGAAATGAGGATCAGAATGATGGTAGCGAAAACAANAAAACATGGAGGAGTGGAAGAGAGCAAAGGGTTTGAGCCAGATGACCTTCCCCACAACAAGAAACGTAGGGCTAGGGAAGAACTGCCCAGAGATTCTTCTTGTCGAAATGAGGATCAGAATGATGGTAGCGAAAACAAGGAGGATACTGGTGAAAGCTCTCCTAAACGAACTCGAGTACTAGGTAATAGCCTTGGTAGTAGACGGGTGCAGTTTTCTTCTGTTGCTGCTGTTTCTGTTCTAATCCGAAGGATAGCTCAGCCTCCCCCATGCTGCCCCCTCACGGGGTCCCAGTTCATGGTAGATAGAAGTGTTTTGTGCTTTCACCCGCACTAAGACTGACGTTTTTTCATTGGTCAGCCGGTTAGCACACACAAACACACGAAGACTAGTTCCACCTGTGAAGAAAAAAAAAAANAGCAGGTGCTCAACCCCCTCATGCACACAACACACTCACACACAAACACACGAAGACTAGTAGTTCCACCTGTCTGTGAAGAAGAAACACCCACCTGTTCTTTCCGAGGCTCGAGTTGGCGCTCGCGACCAACGCCGACCTGATGGTTCCTTGCCCCTCCTTCCTGGTGGCGTCCTTCTTCGCTCCTTCGGTCCCCTGCATGCCGTGCTTTCTCTTGAGGTGCGTGTTGACGTTGCTGCGGTCTCCCCGTGGACACGGAATCTCCTTCCTACCCTTCCGACACTCTGCGCTAGCCAGGCAGTAGTACTTACTTGTGTTTGGCGCCTGCGCTCTGCTCCACGTACACTCCGAGCGAGTACTTGAACGAGTCGATGCGGGAGCCCTTTCTCGCGAAACCGGTCGGCACGGTGAAAGCATCCACCGCGGCAGCGATATCGTCAGCCACCTCCGCTACCACTCCGCCCTTGCCGTAGAGTGGTTTCGGGCTGAGTACGGGCACGCCTCCAGCGCTGGATCCGGCAACGTCTACCACGTTCGAGTCATGCTGCTTATTGCTCTCGGGTGTGCCTTCGTTTGTCTCAACCCCGCCACCTTCACCCGCCCCGGCATTCGTGTTTGTGTTTGTGTCTTGCGGCGTGGAGGAGTTGTCGAGGTCCGCAACAACAGCGCTCATGTTCCCTCTCGAGGTTCGCACAAACGATCTTCTGTGGGTCTGGTGTGTGTTGTGTATTATTATTATTTTTTATTGCCCTCCGACAATTGAAGATGTTAGGCCAAATCTTATGGAAGGTCTGCGATTTTGCTGGAAACCACAGCATCAGGGCGGAAATTCCACGGTATCCATAGAACAGCTGCGATTCTTGAGATCAACACTTATGGTCGGTTAAAAAAAAAAAAACGGATTTGGTTAAGATCCAGGTGGCGTGTGCCAGTTTTAGTTGCGCCGCCGGTAAAAAAAAAAAAGTATCGCACATGGCCGCAGTAGCCACCCTCTCGTCACAAGCAACACTCTCCGACCCTCTGTCACTCTCTCAGCCTCCCGCCCTCCATCACGATGGTAGTAGAAGCACTTCCCCTTGAACATGAGTCGATCCAACAACAAATCTTGAACCGGGGTTCCAAATCCGGCCGCGCACGAGGCCCCTTACGAGAAGGCTGAGACTTCTGACTCCCCCATTCGTGACCTTCGGGCGTTTAGATTGTCCCCTTCTACCGGCGTCAGCTGCTTCGGCGTCCTGGAAGCGGCAGCAGAGGAGAGTGGCAACGGAGAAGCGGCGCTCTATCTATCTAGCGAAAGCGAAGATGGCGATGATAGTAGCGCATTCCGCTACGCGGGTGCGCCAGGCGGACATGAGAGAATTTGTCGCGACGTAGCGAGGATGCGGGTACAGCTGTAGCAGTGGTTGTTTTCTTGCGGTGCGCTGCCTGTTTTTTTTTGTATTGTTTTTTGTTGCAACATCGAAGGGGGTGCGCCAGGCAGACACGAGAGAAATTGTCGCGACGCAGCAAGTTGTGTGCTTTTTTTGGTTTTATTTGGTGCGCTTATATGGTGGTATAACTTGTTTTGTTTCTTGATTTTCATTTTTCAACATCGAAGGAGGGCAACAAGGGTGAAATTTAGCTTTGTACGAAGGAGAGCTTTTCAAGCAGTTTGTGCCGGTCACAGCCTACTCGGGTGCATGATGTGTGTTTCCCTTTCGCCGTCGACTAGTCTTGGTGAGGCACTACTACTGTAGCCCGAAATGCAACGATCTCATTTTGTAGAACTTTCGTGGGCTCGACAGGGTGAAACCGCACGTACGTGTCACGGGAAAGAAAGTCTGCCCAGGCCTACACTAGAACTTCACATAACAGCAGTGTCGATCCATTTCGTACTACTACAGTACTGACTTGGCCCCGCAAGCAAGCGTGAGCGCTACACCATAATTGAACACGTTCTCATTACACTACAGACCGGCACTAATGAGGGATTGGCTAGCCCTCAATAGTGCCGTCTTGGCATTATTCGCAATAGTGCCGGGTGCCCGGTTTAGTCCCGGTTAAATCTCTCGACACATACCGGCACTATAAAGGTCCCTCGACTGTAGCGTGAAGAACCAGGGAGGGTGTCGTGTGTGCATGAGCAGATGAGAATATTCCAACGGGACTGTAGGAAGTGACTACGCAGATAGGAATTGATAGTCCCCTCTGGGTTGGTTTCATGGTTGATCCACGGGGCTCTGACCTGCGGGAGTGCTTGCTGTGTCGCGGCACTCTCTCTCTCCCGCCGCGTCCTGATCGTGTCTGCTGTCCTAAATACAAGTGATACCATCATCTTCAACACACATACATACATGGGTATACTAACATGTTCTAGAAGCACCAACCACCATAACGGAACCGTGACAATACCGTATCCGATATCGACCTCGCCGGAGGACACGCGTTCATGCCAATTAGCATGCATGTGCTTGTAACGGTCAATGTCGACAGCATAAACTAAGTTCGGAATGATCCGACGACGACGGGTAAATGTTCTTTTAAGACGTACAGTATATCCACTATGCTACAAGTCAGCGCTGACTTGTAGCTGACTTGTAGCATACAAAGACTGACTAGTGGTTGCGCTGCACACCTTCACATGTTCAGTCGCGTTCATGCGCGATTCTTGTAACGGTCTCAGGTCCCAAGCAAGTAGTCTGTAGTCTCTAGTCTACGTCGACAGCATGAACGAAGTTATGCATGATCTGACGACGACGGGTAAATGTTCATCCGCGTTCATCCGCGATCCGGGGAATTTTCATTCCACCGTGCACCACCATGGTCTCCGCCTCACGGCAAGCAAGGCCAAACTACAAATGTGCGTGTACGTGTGTGGTGTGTGGTGTGTGGTCAGTTAGCCAGCGAGTGTGCCCTGAAGACATGCCAGTGTGGTGGCGATCTCAAACAACATGCTCCCAGCAACAACAGAAGAAGAAGTGGATGGGTGGACGGATCCACGGATGGATCCGACGGGTAAACGTTTCATTACACAGCAGACCAGCGGACCGTGGCGCAGGCGGACGTGCATGTTATTAGCATTCCAAGGCATGTACTGCAAAACAGAAGACCGTTTGGCCGTGCTTATGCTGATGCTCGGGCACACCACTACAGCCTGGTCGGGTGATCGCCGCACGCCGTCGTACTGTGTAACATCGAACACACCATTCATTGGCACGGCACAACTGTTGGCACCGCATCGCCCGGATCGCGGATGAACGCGGAGACACATTTACCCGCCGTCGCCGGATCATCATGTGGATCGTCCCGAACTTCTTTCAAGCTGTGGACATGGACTCATGCTTGGGACCGTTACAGCACGGCCATGTCTTCAGCGCACACCCGCTGACCAATTGGCCATCAATGTATGTATGTATGTATGTATGTATGTATGTATGTATGTATGTATGTATGTATGTATGTATGTATGTATGTATGTATGTTTAGTCTATTGTTTTTCTTTCGAATTGCCGTTATATTATTATTTTTCTCAAAGCAAACCCTCCGGAGGGAAGAGAGAGACCGGGCTGGCAGAGCCTCATGTCTTGCACGCTCCTGTCATACCGCTCTCTCTTCCCTCCAGGCAACCCCCGGGGATCTTTCCCCGGTGATGGGGGAACTAATCTTACTGCACGTAGTAGGCTAAAATGACCAAGTCCCAAATGGTTCACTACTATTTCCTTCGCCAAACACGCGGTCATCATGACTCCTACTTGTGCGAGATTCTTCTTCTCTTCTGGCCACCCCACATCGTGTTTTCCCCCGGCTGCCTCGCGACTCCTTTGTCCTTATCGCCTAATGTACGCGATACTCGTTGCGAATCCTCGCTATTGTTGACTGTGTACACCTTGTATGCGTCTGACTTCCATCTTCCTTCCCTCTGGATTACTCTCTCCGATACTGCTCCCCCGGCTGCAAGGGTGGATGCTCCTCCAATCCGGAGCGAATGCAATGCAAAGTCTTTCGGGTTTCGGCCCGATCTCTCCACGATCTCTCGCAACGCTCGAAGAGCTTGGTCGTACTTCAGCACCTTAACTTCCTGGCCACTACGGTATGATGACAACGGGGCGCTATCGGGCAACGTCGCATGACACGACAACGACGCCACCATCAGAGCGACGGCGCCGCCGTTCGCTCTGTACCCCGATCGCGGACCGTGGACTTCATCTCGCGTACGCGCCCTCACGTCGCCTATCTGGCCCTGGTCCCCCTTGTGACCTCTGAAACGGATCTCTACTCGATCTGCCTGCTGCCAGTGCATGTACTCTAGTTGGCGACTTCCCCGAAAGAACGCCACGTCTCTGCGTGTGAGGCAGTGTACCGGGTGTACTACCCCCGAACTATTCGCAAACATCTCATCGGACCTGGTGATAAAAAAATAGCTCAAGCTCAGACACAGCCACGTGACTCGCCCCGCTAATCCCCACGATGGTATGATGCCTTCGCTATCCCTCAGCATACTCCACGTCACTGGGAGGCGGACGCGACGACGCCTCCCGAGATCAACGTGAGACCTCGCTACTCCTCGGAGTGCACATTTTATCAACGGTGACGATGTGTCAATCTCGACCTGTACGTCCTTCCTATGGAAATACTGCACAGCTGCGAATTTTCCCGAAATAGTACCGGCTTGGTTTCCTTCCGACTCAAAACACCATGCCGCAAAGTCAATCAAGGCCCACGTCATTTCGTCGGATGATGCGTCCCTAGGCAAAAACACACCGCATCCCATCAACCTGCGAAAAGCACACCAAGACCGGAAACCTGACGCGTAACTGCGTTGAGACGACTCTGCAACTGATCGTCCGATGAGCTTGAGTCCAATACCGCGGATGTGAGGTCCAACGCTTCCTGCCCCAGATGCTGCTCCTGCCAACAGATGTCGGGCCGGTACGAGCGCAATTTAGCGGTTATTTCATCGTGCTTCCATCTTGAAATGCCGTTAGCGAGTGTGTTGGCCAAGCCCTTAATGTGCTTGGCCCTGAATCGCCACTCATTTCGCATCTCCAAGCACCCCATCATTCGCATCAACGCCCCCGATCTAGGTTCCTTAGCCCCCCGGCACTTGTTCACCCAGTGGACAGCACTCATGTTGTCCCCCCTCATCAAAACACTCTGCCCGGGGTACTCCGGGCGATCGCCGGCGTGTACGGTCAGCGCCCACGCCGTCATAACCATGCCCAATAGCTCAAACACATTCATCGACAGATCGTCTCTCTTGCAAACGCGGTTGCGGAGACGCGCGCGGACGTCCGCCGAGAAGTCGATCCTCCACCACCAGCCGGTCTCTAGACAGTACCCGCCCATAGCGTTCCCGCTCGCATCACTGATGATGATACGGCACGGTGGCTGCAGATACAGTAACACGAAAACAGCGGCGCCGCTAGTCTCGTGATGCCATCGCTCCCCGTCGCCATCNCCTGACCCGCCACGACCGCCGCCTGAATTGCCACCGCCCCGACCCCGGCCACCGCCACCGTTGCGGGCGCGNGTTGCGGAGACGCGCGCGGACGTCCGCCGAGAAGTCGATCCTCCACCACCAGCCGGTCTCTAGACAGTACCCGCCCATAGCGTTCCCGCTCGCATCACTGATGATGATACGGCACGGTGGCTGCAGATAACACGGAAACAGCGGCGCCGCTAGTCTCGTGATGCCATCGCTCCCCGTCGCCATCTCTATCACCATTCTCCAAAAGGCCAGATCGGCATGAAACTCGCGGTTCAACCGCACGAACCCCCACCTTCGCCTATCCCCTCTGACAAAACCGTCACCCGTTTCCCCGGAGCTCAACGGTGCCAACCCTAATTGGTTGAGGATACGCGAATGAAAAACTTGCCTGGCCGTACCACTTCAGAGAGGTGCAACAGCTTGCCCAACAACGACCGAACCTCCTTAACGGTTGCCCTTGTCCGGCTTTCAGGCCACTCATCAAGCATGACACGCAATTGGACGACCTTCTCTTGCGGAACGGAAATCGTCATGGCCATCGTATCAATCGACCATCCGAGCATTTCCATGCTCGTGTCCCAGGACGTAGTCTTCTCCCGGGCAAACAGGGGAGGCTCGCCGGCATTTCGACTGCCGAACAAGCGAAAACTATCCGAAACAAATGACCGAGTCGCGCGTAAACACCGTCTTCCCTCTAGAATAGGTACTTCCACTTCGGCAAACAAGGCGTCGTCGACGTAAGTATCCACGTGAAACTTGTCCTGTTTCCCTCCCCCAGAACCTGGGGGAAACGCGCAGTCAGGGGGCAACTTAGCCCGCTCTTCGCCTTCTCGTGGCGGCACTATTTCAACATGGCTAGTGGCCGCACGCCCCTCCGGCGTGATTACGGCATTTCGGAACGTTGTGTTGTTGTGGGCGTGCTCAACTGCTGCAGCGCATACACCCCACAACGACGGCGAGCTAGTCCACCCAAACTGCAAACACCGATCGACTACGACGACGTCACCGAAAACATAGCCGAATGTGGGCGACTGGTTCACCGCTACCGTGACTTGACGGAAGGCCCCCTTGGTATCAACTTTTGCCAGCAAGATGCGGGGGGGCGTGCCCGCCGTACCAACGACAAACTTCGAATATAAATATAAAATCCTCCACAACACGGACCGAAGCACATGCCCTATTTTACATTCAGGAACCGCGGACATGTCGGTATCCTCGTTGACACTGCTCCCGGAGGCAGCATTAGTCAAGTCATGGCATATCCGAACCTTCGACGTCGATACCGCTACCGTCAGAGGTGAAACACGAATGCCCGGGATTTGGGCAGCCCTCGACCGCGGGAACGCGAACGCCCTACCAGCTAACACGTCGTCCACAATTTTGGCCGCAATTTCGTGGGAATAACGGTCAGTCGAGCGGTGGTTACCGTACGCTAAAGCCGCGGGCAAATCCCCCTGTCCCGCCACCGGTACCGGTGCGCCGTGACAAACTATCTGCAGCAACAACTCGATGGCGGGGAACTGTTTCTGATCGCCAAACCAACGTCGTATTTGTCCCTCGTCCACACGGGGAAGCGGCCTATCGTGCAACGTGTCCATCATTCGTTCAAAGTGACGAGGGTCCTGCTCGAGGTACCGCCAACTCGTGTCTGCAACGATGCCTAATGAGGTGCGAATGGGTTGAGAGCCGCGGGCAAATGANGCCGCCGCCGCCGCCGCCGGAGGCGCGCGCGCCGGTGTCGTTGCGGCCTGACCCGCCACGACCGCCGCCTGAATTGCCACCGCCCCGACCCCGGCCACCGCCACCGTTGCGGGCGCGCCGCGCGTTGCTTCGCTTGCTGGGGTCGTGCTCGTGACGCCACGGGCAGTCGCGCGCGGTCCGGCTGCACGTGCCCTCCGCCCACGCATAACAGTATCCCGAGTTGGCGGCGGAGGCCGCCCTCGTTGTCGACCGCCCCCGCCCCCGCCCGGTCGCAGAGGACTGCGGCCGGGGTTGGTGGTTGGAGTTGTGGAGACCGCCGGCTCCGATATACGAAGTGAGCCTCGTCCACGCCGGCACCACGACGTTGGGGAGCTCCCCGGCTCCCGGCGGCGCGTCGTGTTGCCCCGCAAACATGGAGGACGCGTCGCCCAGCTGCCCCGCCCAATGATTCAGGTCGAAGTTGAGGAGGGTGGCCATCACGTTGTAGTTGGCTTCGATCCGCATCAGGCTGCGGCATTCATTGGAGTGCCGGCGAAGCAAGTGCCAACCATTCCGAAGGCCTTCCTCCAGGAGCGCGACACGGTCCCGGCCTTCGGCAGAGGAGACCCCCCCTGGATGCGAGCTTCATGATGGCTTGGATGCACAAGTCGAGCCGTTCCGCCAGCGGGATGCCACCGGCGCCGGGTGCATCGTCAGGACCGGCAAATTTGTGGATGTCGAACGCGGCGAAGTCGGTAAGCGTCGCGAAAACCGCGGGCGACACGCCGATCACGTCGTGCAGCGATGCCTGCATGCTGTTGAGCGACATCGCCGCTCCCACCGGCCGCTCCCCGGTCAGGAACCACCGCGTGGCGTTGGCGGGGTTTCGCCACGCCCGCAGATCCTCCTTTATTTTTAGCTGCTGTATTTGGGGTGACAGGGCCGCCGCCGACGTCGCCGCCGTACGCGTCCGCGGCGGCGGCGCCATGTTCGAGATGACCACTTCCGGTTCGTCCGTGCCGGACTCGCCGCCTCCATCGCCCCCATTGCCCTGCAATCTCAGACGAAGATCATCAATCTCCGCCTGCAGCTGGTAAGTAGTGCCCGCGCGGGTCGCGATTAACTCGCGCATGTCGCTGAGTTCCCGGCGGAGCTCGACCAGTTCCGCGCTGGGTTCCACCTCCCCAACGCCACTGGCGCCGCGCGGGGCGGACGCGGCCCGCTGGCGGCCCCCGCGCCCGCCGCCGCGTCCTCGCCGTGCGCTGGGCGTGCCCGACCGCTGAGCCGCTACCGCCGCCGCCGTCCGCGACGTTGATCGTCCCGCGGCTCGTCCCCCTCTCGAGGCCGACCGCCCGCGGCTGGCCCGCGTGGTCACCATCTGGATTTACACGCGATGCGTCGTGGGCAACATCGAATCGGCACACGCATGTCAAGGGTGGGCAAAAGGGTTCTGCGAGTGCTGCGTGCATCGCTCGAAAGCAACAATGGCGGCAGGAAAGATGTGTCTGAATCGAGCACGTCGCCCACCGCCACCGCCACATCCCATTGATGGATGTGGTACCGGCAGAAATA